AAAATTCAGACATTATTTACTTGGCCACAGGTTCATTATTAAAACAGATCAGAAGAGTTTGAAAGAATTATTGGAGCAGACACTCCAAACCCCTGAGCAACAACAATGGCTACCCAAATTTATAGGGTTTGATTTCACAATACAATACTCCCCAGGGAAAGAGAATATCCCTGCTGATGCTTTATCTAGGAGCTTTGCAATGGCCTGGTCAGAACCCCGTAATACATGGCTACAATCAGTTGCAGAAGCAACCAGAAAAGATGAGGAATTGATGAAAATTTTTCTGGAATGCAAGAACAACTCAGGGAAGAAAGGGGACTATGCAATACAACAAGATATGTTGATGTGGAAAGGGCGAATTATGCTGCCAAATCATGCAGAACTGATAAATCGGATCATAGGAGAATTCCATGGATCAAAAATTGGTGGTCACGCTGGAACTACAAGAACTATGGCCAGATTGAGTGCTCAATTTTTCTGGCCTAAAATGCGGGAAGNAAGCTGCTTTTAACTTGGCCATGGCGGTGCTTGTTGGTTTTGACCACGCAAACTGACCCTTCTTCAATAAATCGGTCAGTGGTTTTGCTATCCTTCCATATCCCGACACAAAACGCCTGCAATATCCTGTGAGGCCCAGGAACCCACGCAACTCCTTCAAACTCCTCGGTTCGCCCCACTCTAACACTGCTCTCGCCTTATCCCCATCCATTTTGACCCCCATAGCAGAAATTTGGTGGCCAAGATAGCGAATTCGTTGCTTCTCGAATTCACACTTCTTACGGTTTGCTACCCAACGTTGTTGTTCAAGTATTCTTAGCACCAACTCCAACTGCTCTAAGTGGTCTCTCCATGTGGGGCTGTACACCAGTATATCATAAAAAAAAACTAGCACGAATTTCCTTAGATAATTCTGGAACAGCTTATTCATCGCTCCTTGAAACGTGGCTGGCGCATTCATGAGTCTGAAGGGCATCACCAAGAATTCAAAATGACCCTGGTGAGTGCGAAAAGCAGTCTTGGGTACATCGTCTTCATTCATTCTGATCTGATGGTAACCGACTTTTAGATCAATTTTGGAGAAGTACTTTGCCCCCTTCAATTCGTCCAAAAGCTCTTCTATGACTGGAATGGGAAATTTATCAGGGACGGTGGCCCTGTTTACGACTCGGTAGTCTACACAGAAACGCCAACTACCGTCCTTCTTTTTCACCAATATTACGGGACTGGAAAATGGGTTCGAACTGGGTCGGATGAGCCCCGCCTTCGTCATGTCTGCAACTTGCTTCTCGATTTCGCTTTTCATAAAGTGAGGATACCTATAGGGACGGACATTTATAGGATCCACTCCCTCCTTAAGTGTAATTCGATGCTCCTTGTCACGTGATGGGGGTAACCCTTTTGTTTCTTGGAAAACGCCATAGTGCGCCTGCAACAGCACCTCCATCTCTGCTTTCTGCTCTCCCGTCAAATCACCTTGCCACCTGTCACCCCTTTCCTGCTCCACCACATTCAGACTCCACACTAATGCCCATGACTCAGCATCCACTATCTTGGATAAAGTTCTGGGCTCCACCAGCTGTCGCGCCAACGTGGGGTCACCCCTTATCTTAATCTTCCTGCCTTCCACGTTGTAGATCATGGTCATCTCCCCCCAGTTAACTCTTACTTCACCCAATCTTCCCAGCCATGCAACGCCCAAAATGACGTCCACTTCCCCTAGTTCGAAAACAAAGAACTCCTCCTCTACTGTGGCTTCTCCCAACTCCACTCTGATTTTCTCACAGCGGCCACGCGTCACCCTCTTGTGCCCGTCCCCTAAACTAACCGAATATGGCTGCGTATCAATCGTAGGCAGTTCTAACTCCTCTGCCAACTTCCGGCTAATGTAATTGTGGCTTGCGCCACTATCTATGAGCACCACTACTTCCCTTTCTCCAATTCTTCCTCTCAGCTTCAGGGTCTTGGGTGTTGTTAACCCTTCAGCGGAGCAGGCGGATAACTCCATGGGTTTCTCCTCTAGGCTACCCACTTCTTCGAATGCATCTTCCTCCTCATCCTCCGCTAACAGCAACACGCGTAGGCTCTTCTCAATACACCTATGGCCGGGTGCAAACGGTCCCCCGCAACGGAAGCACCGGCCTTCCTCCTTTCTTTTCAGAAATTCTGGATATGGTAGATTTCTCACCATCCGTCCTCTGTTTTCGTTCCCGAATGGTTGACCTACTCTCGCATTTGCATGCGTCGTCGCACCATCCCTTCTCACCGATCCTGTTGATGAGTGCAAATTTATGCCCACATTTATGCTTTAAAATTCAAATTTTTGATGGGATAATTGTGCTTAAATGGTTGATTTTAAGTGAATTTGTGATAATTGGAATTGTTGGGTTTTGAGAAATAAAGAGACGTAAAAAGTGAGTTTTAGTGCATAGATTATTCTTGGATGTTCTAATGTTTATTTGTGCAGCTGAGAATATAAGTTTTATTGGTCCAAATGGCAATTCAAGGCCCAAAATCAGATTTTATTTGGAAAATTCAAAAGGGGCTAAAGTGCAGAGAGAGGAAATTTCAGGATATTTGTGCAATTTTTGAAAGTCAGAAAATCTAAAAGATAAAATTCAGTTGTTGAATTTAATTTGGGAATATCAACAGAAAATATCTTCTAAATAATTTTATCATTATCTAAATCTTTTAGTTATTTGGAAGATATAGGATATAAGATAATTAAGTTAATATCTATCAAATATTCTTTAAAACTGATTTAATCTAATGAATATTTGAAAGATATAATATATCAACAGAAAATATCTTATCAACAAACTATTCAAAGTCCAAGCCCAATCAAGCCTATATAAAGAGACCCAAAGGAGGCAGAAAGAGGGACTTCACTTAATTCATTCATTCTCTGATACTCCTCTCATTTTTCTTTCATCTTGTATTCAACTCCATTCATGGAGAGCTAAGCATGTAGGGCTATTCTGCTGTAATTCCATTATGGATTCTGAGGTTAGATTGATGTAATACGATTGTTTATTTTGATTATTGATTTAAGTTGTTCTTTCTTTATGTCTTTCATCTCTCTATCTTGTTAAAAGTAAAGATTTTTGCATCATAATATGTTTGAATCTACATGCATATTGATTATATGAGTTCTAGGGTTTCTAGGTTTAATTGAGAATTTACTTTGATTTAATTTAGGAACTTTCATATGATTAAATGGTTTTTACTATCAATTGAGAATGTACTTTCGTTGATTAGTAATAATTTCAACTATAATCAATTGAGAATTTACTTTGATTGATTAGCTTTTAATTTGGTTAGGAGATTTAAGAATAGACATGATTAAACACAATAAAATTTGATTGAGAATGTACTTTGGTTGAATTTATTGTGAATAATCTAGAAAGGTTTTGCATTTGATTGAGAATTTACTTTGGTTAAATGCATGATCGCCCTCAAATTAATTAAGAATATACTTTAATTAAATTGAAACTTGAATAATAATCAATTGAACAATTATCTGTGAATAACCGATGATGAGTCTATCTTGGAAAAGCAGTGAAATTAGCCTATTTCATTATAATTTTTTTTAAGTTTCTTATTTATTCTTTAAACATTCTTAAACCATTACTTTTATTCATAAGCATTGCATAACATTCATAAGAGTCAGATATTCGAAAGCAATTTCGTGTTCGTTGGGAGACGACTCAGGGTTACGTTAACCCTATCTACTTTCTTAAATACTACTTGGCAATACTGAAGTTGCCTTGAAAAGTAGTATTAATTTGATAGCTTCAACGACAACCTATCACCTGTACTCTCCGCTCTCCCCGTTTGCGGCGTAGTGTTTCGACTAGGTTCCGATCGCAGCACACTCCCCGTTGATCGTGTTCCCAGTAGGTTAAATTTGAACCCATTCCCGTATCCTCCTTGTGCTTGCATGATAGCCCCCTCGACATCCCGAGCAATCCGCATCGCCTCCATCAACTCTGATGGGTTTTGAATTCGCACCTGGCCCTTCACATTGTCACGCAATCCCGCAAGGAAGTAACCCAGTACCTGCTCATTAGGTATGCCCCTCGTCTGACCCATCAACACCTCAAAATCACGAACGAACTCCTCCACCGTACCCGTCTGGTGTAAGGTCGCCAACCTCTCGAACACCGTTCCCCTAAAACCTCCTCCAAAACGGTTGATCATGGCTGCCTTCAGTCCCTCCCATGATCGATTTCTCGCTTTTTCCTTCCAAAAGGTGAACCAATATGCCGCACTCCCCTCCATACTGACGTACGCAATTTCAACTTTCTCATCGTCGCTCGACACCTTCTGTATATTGAAAAATCTCTCGGCTCTATTGAGCCAACTCAGGGGTTCCGCACCGTCAAAAGTGGGTAACTCCACCCTTTTCCTCCACGGTTTCTGTTCGTCACTCCCAACGCCGGTTCCTCCGCCTCCCATCTCTCTCCCCACTCTTTGTCGATTGTCATTTAAGGACGTATCATCGGAACTCCCTTCTGCCTGATCGGCTTGCTTACCCAAAATCTTCATGATTTGTTGTAAGTCCCGCCGTACCGCCGCCGATTCCGCCTTCATCCCTTCCATCGTTATCTCAATCGCTTCAAATCTCGCCTCCGTCGCACTCTCCATTTCTCACGTCATCTCCCCAAATTTGGATCCGGCAGGTTAGACCAAATTGTTAGGTTTCCAATCAAGAAACCTAAAGAAAATCTCACTAACACACGACTGAACACTGAATAACCTCCACACGTATTATTAACAGCAAGAGAGTCAGATACAGGGCAGCTATGGGAGCCTAACCTCCCCCCACAGGAATAACGAATCCTGTACAAAGAATACAAGTAGTCCAAAGTGTCTTTCAGCAGATAACTACTTCCTATATATACAAGTCTAACCCGCGCCCTTTCTAACTGTTAAGACAGTTAGAGTAACTAACTCTACTAACTCTTCCTTCTCCTCTCATAGACTCTTAGTCTCCTATCAGAATCACTACAAAATAAGGCTAACATAAATGAGATTTGTAGCAAATCTTGTGTTAAATAAGTCCTGACATGGATAAGAAAGAACTGCTATTTAATAATTAATATTAACTGGCACAGAACAGCATTACAGATCAAGGGAAGCAAACATAATCTAAGGGCATACCTGTATTGCCAAACACAGTGATTATCTCCAAATGCAAAAAAAGGACAATATCTACAAGCTTCTCCACAACCTGTAATACATCAGATTTGAATCATATTCAACTTTTACAGGTTCTCTATTTATAATATCCACAAGATGAACCCACATTTATAAATAAAAATAATTTCTATACAGTATATTTGATTATACGTGAATCGGAAACGATGAAAATCTAATTGAGGATAAAACAAACAAGGAGGACAACATTGAGCGACAAATTAAACATAATTTTGCAGAGAAGAAATCTGATGTTACCTCCTCCAAATTTCTAGACCAGAGTGATTTTTTCTTTAAGTGATTAATTTGCTTCTTTTTTCGGCTTTTAGTTTCCGCGCTCAAGACTGCAAGATCATCATCACCTATATGATAGAGACATACTGAAGGTCAAAAGTATATCTAAGGTACTACATAAATACTGCTCAATATACTGAAAGGTTCTACACATTCACCACCGACTAAAATGATGGCTCTATTTTCAACAACAACAATAACATTAATTCCAATTGTTCTTCACTTTAAATTAAGTCTTTAAGAGCTTCTGATTTAAGATTAAAAATTGTTACACACAAAGACAAGATGAATATTATTCTATGGCCCATTGGTAACATTGAAAAACTCCATCTTTGATTCTCCAACTCACACTTACGCTGAAAATGTTGTTGAAGTTTATCCCAAGCATCTAACTCATGGTACAATTTCTGCAGCCAGACAATTTTTTCCAATTTTAGAACTAAACCCACCTAAAGAAAGAATATGCATAGAGAACTTGGTTTCGGCAAAGGAAAGTAATAGAAAATCTAGAAGATCAAGTAACTGCAAAATGGTAGAAAATGAGCAGAGATAACAAAAGGTGCAGTAAATATGACACCTCAGGTAATTTATTAAACTACCAATTTATACAAGCAGTATATAACACATTTCCACGATTACTTGTAACAGTGTATTCCTTCTATAACACGTAATTTGTACAATCAAATTAAATGGGTAAAGATTAGATTAATCAAGAAGGTATCATAACCATCATATTGGTTTCACTTGTAGAATACATGTGTCATTGTGATACCATGGACCTCTTTCCTTTTCAAGTTTTCTTACACTATCAGCTTCAAAAGTTACTATTACCAGTTAGTGATACAAAGAATACACTCACAAATGTAAAATCAACCAAAGTCATCAATCGTTGCATTATTGATTCTGCCTCGTCTCTTGATAGTCTTTCGGTCTTTAATTGTCCGCTAGTTCTAAAATTTACAAAGAAAATACATCAAAGAATAAAGGAGGCTAAATATTTCTTTGATGATGAATGAAAGGCTAGACAAATTGAAGGAGAACAATTTGTATTACTTTTCTAAGTAACGATCTAAATTGTGCCACTGAGGATCCTTCGAACGATTTCCAAAACGAATCACCTCATTAGAAAAAACTTTCAACTCCTTCCTGACAACATAATCCAAAATGACATACAGTTCATATTTCTGTTTTACAGAGCCATGGGAATGCAAAACAATAAAGTAGTTAAGGTCTATTTGCATAAATATCTTCAGAAGCACATTGGAAGAGAAAATATGAAGAAAAGATTAAATAAATTTCTCCAAAACTAAAATGATGTTATGCATTGCTAATTTGTAAAAGTTCTCTCTCATGTTATTTTGTTAGCTTTTCCATAAGTTAATTTTATCTTTTTGAGAAGTTTATTCCATTTTTTTCCTCTTATTTTCTTCCCCAAGTAGTTATAGAGAAATTGATGCAAACCCAAAACTCTTGGTTTATAGATGGTACAGAAGTCATTCTTAGTAATTTAATTTAACCAATATTTTACCTCTTGTCTGCTGCAACAATCCTAAGAAGTTCATTCATATCTTCTGATATTAAATTTTGCACACCATCTGAAAGAAGCACCTTTTCTTTTAAATTCCTAACACTTTCTGCGGATAGAGATCCCAGAAGATTAAAACCTTTGACAATTGTGTTTGCAACCTCGAATGCCAAAATAGAAATTCCATTCCCCTTAATTGCAGCTCCAGAAGCAAACCCACTACCAGCATTTAAATTTGTGATGCTGCTCCCAATGGTATCCAAAACCTTTCCACATCCAATAGTGCCAGCTCTGCTCAAGAGTAAACTCATCTCTGAGACCTGAAAATCAGCACTAGTTTGGATAAACTTCCAAATAAACAGTCACAGGAGAGAAAAAGAAAATCAAAATAAAACAAACACTCTCTAAAAGCTGAAGTGCACAACTTGTGGAAACATTTTAATTCACTGTCTTCAAAGTTTATCCAAACATGTCATGTCCAAGATAAGAGACAGTTTCAAAAATAATAATTGTTACTTACAAATATACCTTAAACCCAGTTATATTTAGCATAACAGACATCAATGAATGATTTGAAATCAAAATTAAAAACCAAGCAATCAACCTTTGAGATTGAGCTTGACTTATGGAGAAAGCAAACATCGGCAAAGCATGGGATTCCATCATAGAAATGTTGGTCGAAAACAGTAACACGTTCTTGCACTTGCGTATGTGGTTGCAGATTATTCCCTTCAATTATACCCTGTGTGTTTATGGAATCAGTGCCCCTATTGACAGGATGCCTCTTTGAATTTGAACCCCCTGCCATCTGCTACACCAAAGACTAAGAGAGTTCAACCTCAACAAAATGGAACATCACCTTCTTTATTATAGCACCTTCAACCATGAATTGCTTAGCTACAAATAATACCTTCTGCGCAATTTCTCATTAAAATGGAAATTGCTCGGTAACTGCGTTTCAAGATCACATAAACGCACTCACGTTTGTACCAAGAAGAAATTTTGCCTTGTTTTCTAGAAACAATTTATCAAGGATAGTAACTCTTTTAATATGACAACCTTAAAATTTGGTATTAAACTCTAATAGATTATTAGCTTTTAATAATTATTCACGTAAAACTATATTCCATTATACTAAAAAATTTATGAAAAAGCAGTCTCGGTCATTTCGGTTGAGGTTTTAGGCGAATATAATTTATTCATAATAAGATTATAGGGAATTGTAAATTTTTTATGTATAAATTGTAATGATTATTATACATAAAAATAGTAGAAGTGAAAAAATAAACAATCTTTCCCCCTTTTTATTCATGTGGTCTTTAATTTCTCGAAAATAATAGA